ACTTTGAAAAATGGAACGAAAGTTTTGGTAGTATAGTAGTGTTACCTTCATATGCATTGTTAGAGAAACGAAAGGTATTTGGGAAAGCCATTCGTAATATCAAAGAGGGTTGGCATGAAGAGAAAGCCTTTTACACTGACTACCAATAAGTATTTGGACACCTATGCAAATGACGATATCTGCGGTCCTAAGGTACATCACGGACTCCGCCGGTATATATCGTGTAGGAAACAGCATCGGCTTTAGTCGCATGCAAGGTGCCTCGCAGTTCGGAGCTCTCTGATTTCGAGAAAGGTATAATTATCGGGTATCACAAATGTGGCCTATCCTTAAGGGACATATCTAGCGATCTGAATTACCCAAAATCGACAGTGGCCTATGTGATTAAGAAGTGGAAGGTGAGCGGTGATTGTCGGAATGTGCCCCGATCGGCAGCAGACCACGAAACTGGAGATAGAGACCGACGAGTGCTGTCCAGAGAAATTCGGAAAGAACCGCACCCAACCGATGGCCCTCTTCCGCGAGGAGTTTCAACAGCATCCGGAGTATTTTTCAATGAATACCATCCTTAAGGAAGCACATCTGCTTGGTTTTCATGGTCGTGCTGCTGCCCATAAACCTTTGATCACAAAGTCCAACCGCGCTGCTCGGTTAATGTGGTGCAAAGCACATCGAAATTGGACCGTAGATCAGTGGAAACGGTTTCTTTGCAGTGACGAATCAAGGTTCACCCTTTACCGTTCGGATGGCAGGGTCTGGGTCTGGGTCTGGCGTCTACCTGGAGAACGTCTCCTGCCAGAATGCATTGTGCCAACAGTCAAGTTCGGCGGATGTGGAATTACGGTCTGGGGCTGTTTCTCATGGTATGGGCTGGGACCCTTGGTCCCCATTCATGGTAAGCTCAACTCCGATGCCTACTGCACTATTTTGGATGACAATGTGCTTCCTACGTTGTGGCAGTTTTACGGATTGGACCCCTGTTACTTTCAGGACGACAATGCCAGTTGTCATGTTTCGACGTTAGCCAAGGCTTGGTATGGTGCCAATGGAGTTCATCGAATGGACTGGCCTGCTCAGAGTCTAGACCTGAACCCTATCGAGAACCTCTGGGACGAGTTGCATCGCCGAATTCAGGGGTGCACTACCCGTGCAAATTCGGTGAAGGAACTTCTATGTCTTCTCCAAGCTGAGTGGAAGAAAATACCACTAGCTGTCATACAAAGACTTGTGGAAAGTATGCCCTGAAGGGTCCACGCTGTAATTACCTCTAGTGGAGGCTCTACCAACTATTGATTTTGAATAAAGTTTTTCTCTTCTATCACAGGTGTCCAAATACTTATTGGTAGTCAGTGTAGAACGCTGATCTGAGCACTGCGATTTAAAAAAGTGCTATGGTTACACAGTGTGCAAACTGAAATCCAGGATTCATCTGGCAATGACGGAGGGTAAAATTTGTGCTTAAGAGCGTTCCTATTTACAAGTGTTTTACGTAAAACGATGACTTCAAACTCAGCTGGCTGAATGCACAATCTCAAAACAGCTGATGAGACAGAATTTTGTTTTAACAAAATGAAAAATTTTATTAACAAAATTTAAAAAAATCTGAAAGCTTTCAGATTTTACATTGCTCACAAAGAGGCGTTTTTTAACGCTTTGCGTGTTACCTTTATTAAACATCACGTTCTTCGCACTTAAACCATAAAATGCAATTCAACGGCAATATCGCGAAATAATTTTAAAAACGAGCAGATCTTTAGAATTTTTTATACAGAGTCTCGCGCGCTAGAGATAATTTTTTTCTCCGAACAGTATTGCCATTGCTTGCTTTGAAATCATTGAGTTTGCCAATCAAAATTTCGTTAAAGTGTTACAAAATATGAAATCGATAATAAAAACAATTCCAAATTAAGGCTTCCAGATGCCCATATTCGGTGTTATTTCGTTATTCAAGCGATAATATTGGGTGGACACAATTTGAAAAGTGAAACGAACATTTAAAGTTTTTGACGCAAAATTCCGAAATGAAATAAGTAACCCTCATGGGCTAACAATTATCATACATAAGCAATAATAATAATAGCACAAAGAAAACCTCACAATTTATATATTCTCTTTCTCTGCACCTGTAAGACATTTTTGTTGGTTACACTTCGTAATTCAAATACAATGATTCAAATACAAGGATTTAGTTTTTAGAATGATGTTTCTTTCAAATAATTCTAACATGTTTAATTTATTATTACATAAATTACTTTAAATTAAACTAAAAATAAACAAATTAGGAAAACATTCTAAGTTTTCAGTGAAAATTTAGCAAGTAGGAACCTAATCGCTCTCTATTATTCAATAAATTTCCTCTTGTTTGATTTAAAATTCATTAAATAATCTACAAATATTTGTATGTTGTTGTTCAGAGGCCAATATTTAGAGTAAAGAAGCCATCGCAGGACAACACACTTTATTTACACGAATAAGGAATAAAGAGATCACACAGAAAATCATATTGACTCTCACATAGCATACATCACCATCTCTGTACGCTCGAATGACGGATGTGTCGGGAGAAGAGACAGTTGCGCCATCATAATTAATACGCATGCGAATAAGAAAAAAACGTTCGCTCGCCTCTACCCAACATATGTAAATAGATGTAAACTTCTTCATTGCTTATTACAGCTTTACATTTCATGGCGTTTCTAATTTGATCAAATTTGCAGCCTTGCAGAGATAGAAATAATCTTCATCAAGAATTGTAGATACTCATTGGTCAGTCTGGTTCTTTTCTTATAAATTTTCTGCTGTGCAAGAAAACCTGTTCACATATAAATGTACTCACTCCCAAGCAAAACTGTTATTTTTAATACAAAGATGTAACTGAGCCTATTTTCTGGCAAGTAAGAATAAAGGTGCAAACGTACGTATGTACGTACAAAAGAAAGCACGCATAAAAGTAAGTAAAAGGATGCTCAGTAGAGTGACCGACCAGGGGTGCTGAATGTAGAAATGCGCTGTAAGAATAATCAAAATAATTTGAAAATACCGAAAAACATCTTCTGCGAAACTTTCTGTTTAGATTTCGCTACTTTTGATTCTTAAGGAAAAGATCTATTAATTTTAAGCTAAATATCTATTAATAATGTTGCGTTCTACGGGTTCGTGGATTTGGAGCGATTAATGACAACACTTGATGAAGATAGAAAACACAATTTATTAGCCGATATTTCTCAAGAGAGCTTCAAAAACAAGTTTACAGTCGTCGAAAAACTAGGACAAACACATTGAAACAATTAGCAAAGCAGCCTTCAGGCTATTAGGCTATAACGGTGAAGACAGCTTCACTGCAAAGCACTACAGTACACCTCCCGACTTGGTTCGGTCGTTCTCGAAATTCAACGTACTTTCGAGCTTCTCCACTCTACAACTCGCGATGCACTCGGCAATAGACTTGATAGCCTCAACGATGCACAATCTCGATGCACCAACTTGCGATACACTCGACGATGCACTGACGAGACACGCAATTCACTGACGATATTCTCTACCACTTTGATACTTTGATGGTACTCTGGCATGCAGCGGGATGTGCACCACTCTAGCTCTTTCCAGATTCCTGAATGAGTCTTCTTAGGGTCCTGAAGTATGTAAAAGTCCACAAATGAAGCTTCTCCAGTTGATATAGCCTTGTAAAAGAAAAAGAGAAGTGAAGCCCTGAGCGACGGGGATCAGCAAGCCATGTCTGGGGAAGCCGCAGAAGGACAGGGAAGTGGGGAAAGCTGACCGGAATACAAAGAAGTTTGTAGAATCCGAAACTACTACTTCGTGTACAGGCAGGTTTATATAGCTTTTGGCCTGCCTTCGAGAACGTTCTGGGCCAAACCAATAAGAATTTGTTCCAGAATGTTCTCGATCCGTCTATTGCATATCGCTAAATGGGCGATTCCGCGCCAAATATGGCAACCCCGCCTTCCCTTGCCATTTCCTAGTAACTTTAAATCCGGTTTGGGGAGAAGCTATCTTTCCGCAGCTGGGCTTTTCGTAATAACAATAATGATCTATTAATTATCAGCATTGTAGAATTCATTGTAGATCGATTAAATTTACTAAAGCAGACGATATTTATCTGCTAAGATAGAGATATTCCACTGCCGACGAACTTTTTAAGAAAAACCAGCTGGTATTTAATTTACATATGGAGAAAAGTCATAAAAATTACATGCAGCTAGCCAATTCTTTAGATGAAAATAGAAGCCAACAGAATTGCTACTCCTCTTGTGGCTTCGGCAGCTGGTTTTCTTTTGATTTTGAAACTAGAAATATAATGACTAATGTCTCTTCTGAAGGAGATCAAATTTCTTTTTTTTTTTTTTTTTTTTTTCTTTTTTTTTTTTTTTCTTTTTTTCTCTTACATGTAAAATTTGGCTAAATACTCAATTTTCTCGTTTATAAGTAACAGATGTATTCTCAATAGTTTCTGATATGAGCCTGATTCCTGATAGCTCGACTTTAGGCACAAACCCAGGCGAACGAATGGGCTGGCTGCATCGTAGGATTCTGTGGTTTTCCTCGTGTGTAATACGAATAAGAGCTTTTTTCCTTGGAAAGTTCTACACGAAGGCTTCTCTCTCCTTAGGGAGCTAGTTCTCTTGTGTTTTGCTATATATATAAATAACCCTAAGCGTCCTACTGCGACACCTATCATAATAAATCAAGGTGGATGATTTTAAACAACCTTTTACCTTCGTAGATTATATACGCGCAACATCCCATTGTAACAATCTTATTTTTGTGCAAAGTTGTTTATTCCTGTTCTTTTCTCCTTTAAAAATGTTTCATCATTTCTGTTTCTATAATAAAAATGCCTCATGGTTTCATTTCATTTACATTAGCACGATGAAAAAGATATTATTTACGATATTACTTCTCTATCTGACCAGCCTTCATTATTTATAGATTTCTGCTTCCTCTATTGGCAGTAGGAATTTGTGTATTTACATTACAACTTTGCAAACGAACTGCCGCGCCTTCTGAGTGTAGGGTTTCGTTCTAACTATATAATGTTATTAATTTTATCTTTTTAATCTTTGTTTTGTGTCTGCATGTTTACGTTCCATTAAAAAAAATGAAGAATCTTCATTTGTTGCTAGAGATCTTTGCGTGCCTTATTATTGTCCATAAATGTAAGTAAATATATTAGTTATATTTTTTTTAACTGTGTTGGAATGGCCTTTAAGAGCACACGCCTTAAGCTGTAGAAAGCGTCCTTTTTGTTTATGCCTCATTTCCGAATAAGTTCAGCTGTCTATATATATATGCATGTAAAGATATATATCATTTTCTTTAACTGCTGTACGTTTTCTTTTCCAAAATCGTATTTACAAGCTGTATTGAATTGTAAACATTCCTTAGCTTTGTTTAGTTTCGAATCGAAGTATACAATATAAATATATAGTTTGAACTTATATATTTGTTTTTGAAGTTTAATATTATATATGTTCGTTTTTTGGTCTAGATCAGTGGTTCTCAACCTTTTGACTAACCCGTACTATCTAAACAAAAATTTGAAAAACTTTTGTACCACCATTTCACACTCAAAAATAGTTATAATAGTTTTATTTGAAATGCCTTTAATTAATTTTTTTTTTTTTTTTTTGGTTCAGCCAAAAGTTAATGTGTTATTTTTTAAATCTTCAGTAAGAGTTCAATCACAGAAATTTATATCAATAGTTCTTTTTCTTCAGGAGATTTTTGAATTTAGTAATTAAAAATACCTTGCGTACTACCTATTTTTCTCTTGCGTACCACTGGTTGAGAATCCTTGATCTAAATAATTTCAGGATTGTTAATCTTTGCTTTGTAATATTCTAGTATATAATCCTGTAACTTAAATTGAAATAAACATTTGTGTTTAGCGAGTTTTTTTTTTTTTTTTTTTTTTTTTTTACACCAAGTGCATTTATGTTTTCATCAGTTCATAAATAATGTAATCATATGATTTTATTTCATACATCTTCCCAAAACCAGCTGGTAATGATGCATAGGTAATAATAATAAGGCAAAATTTTGTCATAATATGAAGTGATGTTTACCAAAAACTAAATGGAGTCATAGCATTTAATTCTTTTAAATCGGATACTACTCTCTAATTTAATTGTTTGAAATATATTAAAATAGAATAAAAACTATGTTTAACAAATTTGCTACATTGTATTAGTCATAAAAATGTTTGTTAGAGGTATAGAATCATCAGGTTATTTTGAGAAGGGGGAGACATAAAAAATGGCCCTCGCTGGGGCTGGAACATGGACATCTCGAATATGCGCAGAGTTAATTTTCAATTTGGCCTACATTGTAAGTCAAAAATGTCCAAATAAGTTAGAAATATTTATGTAATGATGTTCATCTTACATTGCTAATGTAAAGCATGTGTCACTTTAGAAACATAAATCTTTGTATTTTCTCAAGCATTTTACTAATCATGAATTTTTCATGCAAAGCAAAGGTATTTTATAACTTTTAGATTTGTATTTTAGCATTCCAATTAAGTAATTTTAAATTCTGCTCAATCTCGGTTGAAAGAACAAATTTATTTAGCAAATTTGTAAAAATAATAATTAAAACAATATGGTATCTTGCTTTAAGAAAATGAGGATTATTGGGTTAATCTTCGGATTATGGTAACTTGGCGATTTTTTGGCGAAAATTTGGCGACCAACCCTGCTACAGCAACCTGCTAGTTTTTTTTTAGACACCATTTTGTTTTCACGAAGTAAAGGCATGTTTTTTTTACTCAACATTTTTTTCCAACAATCTGCTAGCCGAATTACGCTTATGCTATAACTTTTGTGGAACAAAAGTGCTTAATCATGAGGAAGATTAGGTGCGAAATTGGGAGAAAGTGCAGAATCGCCCACTGTTTGCCGCGTTTTTAAGAATTGCATGTACACGGTATCATCCATGTACACGTCGACCTATTTTCACTTAAAAAACATCCTAGAATTGCACAAAAATGGCATTGTGCACACTCTTGACTTTATCCATGTACACTGCTAAAGTCCTAGCTAGTAGCCTTTATCACCTAACCAAAATGTCGCCAAACTACTTGTTACCACATTTCAAAGATTAGCCGATTATTGTTTCCAATAATGCCTAAGTGTTGGGAACGAATAAAGCAAGTCAACATATTACTTGTAAGATGCAATCTTTAATTTTATTGTCATCGATGGAGAATGAGAAAATGTTTGGGTAAAATCCTAGTAATACGGTGCAGCCTTGGCGCGACTTTGAAAATTATCGCCAACACCAAAAATGATCTAAAGAACATCTATATATATATACTATACACACATAGATATGTATATACACACATAGTATATATACTATATACATAGTATATATATATATATGTATATATATATATACATATATATATATATGTATATATACTATATATATAGTATATACTATGTATATAGTATATACTATGTTTAACTGTATATTTTCTTTGAATGACCCGTTAACTACTCATCGTATATGTCCCATTTTTACTGCTCATCATAAAGTCGCCAAAAGTAGCTAAATCCTGTGTGCACCGGCTACTAGGATTAAACCAATGTTTTTCTAATAAAATCAAATGAACAAAATAAAACATTAAAATATATCCAGAGTTATTTTTAGTATATTAGATTCAGTTCATTAAGAACTAGAATGTCTGTGCTTTTTTTAATCAGATGACTGAAATACCAATTAGAATAATTTAAATCTGTTTAAGAAACATTATTTATCATAGAATGTTAGGTTATTTAATTACGGAAAAGCCTCGAGGGCTATCTGCCTAAGGGGAGGGATGTCTTCTTGGAGGACTTTCTAAGGGAAACTGGCTCGTATACACATCACACATGGACAAAAACCATGAAAACACCCATGCAGCCAGCCCGCTCGTGGCATTCGAACCCCGGACCGAACTACCAGTGTTCAGCGACTTTACCGCTCGGCCACTGGTGGGTTCATTTATCATAGAATTTTTGCATTTATAGTAATATATATACATATATATATCATTTGTTATTAGCTAGCAAAAAGGAGAAATTTACAAAATCTTTACAAGAATGCAGATACAGATTTTCTTCACTCAAATACAAATTTTTGTTGTGCCTTTTAGTGGTTAACTGATTTGTGAAAATGCTTTATCAGCAAGCAGTAAAATAAAGAAGCAAATAAAAATTTTATGTAGAAAATTCATTGTTTATATAGATTCTGTTAATAAGTTTCTTATTCATCATTTTCTTCAAAATCAGTATCAGGATTGATTCTTCTAAACATTCTATATCTGCATCTTAATTAATACCAGAGTCACATTTAGCCTAATTCTGCTGATCTTATCTTCATTATCACACGCATATCATCTTGTGAGATTTCGGGAACGGTGATGAGGCAATTTTTTTTAAATGACTATAGCATTCTGGAAGATGTTGAATGTTCATTTTCCTAGTTTCCATACTTTTGTTTTGTTTCTGTTTTCGAAAGTTGTCGGTCAGTAATTTGGTTCTGTTTCCTTTTTTGAAGATATCAGTAAATAGGTTTGTTGGTACTTTTCCATTTTGCCAGTGCAAATCTCGCCACGCAGACTTTGTTGGTGACAGCATACAGTATACACATAAAAAATGTTAACAAATGTTAGTTTTAAGAATTTTTTATTTTGAAGGCATAATCATGTTTAAAATTTTGTAAAAAGCCAATAAATAAAGACTATAAATTTGCAAAAGGACATTAATTTAAGAAATTACTATGCTTTCATGGTTCAACATCCTGATTCGCCGGTTCGTATCACGTGACCCCAAGTAAACTTTTCTCACGTAAACTACGCTACAAAAATCTAATTCTCTCAGTAATTATCCACATTAATTTCAAGTTAAGTCTTATGGAATTTTAAATGCAAGAATTATTTCAATTTGTACAAATAGCTTATTCAATTATGCAAAACCGCAGTGCTTTACTTTGCTAGTGCATTCTCATTAGATTTGATGAATTTAATCCTTGATTTTGCCTTTTCTATATTTTTGCCTACAAGTGAGTGGTGTGATTGCATCCTAATTAATTAATACGAATGGTCTTAGGGTATAAAATTTAACTAGTAAAAATTCTATGTAATTGTGTGCCATTGAAAGAAACAATCAATCTAATGAGAAATGGCTGCGACTTGTTTTGAAAATGAAGGGTAAAAAGTTACCAGCAAAGATATTCCGTTTGGCATCAGTTGTACCATTATTGGTGATTTTATCGTATGCGCTGGCAGAAAGTACCAGTTTATTCATTAAATTTTAGAAAATTGTTTCAGTTATTTATGTTTAAAGGGGTGACAATCAAATTGCTATGAACTCATGCTACAATTCAAGATAATTTCATCATTTTTATGTGAAGCAAAAGTGCCTAAAAGTCAATTAAATGTGATAATGTAATGGACTCTTGAAGAAGGACTCTCATCCATAGATGACCATCTTTACTCATTATCTAATCAGGTCATTAATTTATCATGTAGGCTTGCTTAGATTATGCAACATTTTTCTTGAAATGATTTATTACATTTCTATACTATTTATACCAGTTCCTTCGTTTCTTGTCTGGGCTGATAATGTTTAATATAACAGTGTTAAAATTTTGGCGGTACTATTCCGTTTTGAGGACCGTAAAAAATTTGCAGTAAAAATGTATGCACAAAAGCACCAAATCTAGCAACCCATTGAACAGCATGCCAAGTCTAGCGTACGCGCTGATTTCAAATTGCATAAGTCTAGATAGTTCTATATTTCTTAAGATGCCACTGAAATATTACTTTAATTTTTAAATCTTTTTTTGATATCCTATGGTTTTGGGAATTGCCCATGATGAAAAGTCTGCAAAAGAATGTTTTCAAAGAAAAGGCATCATTCATTATAGAAAATTATGTTTGAACGACCAACGAGGTAAAATTATGCTTTAGTGATAACTCGGGATCGAAATAGCGATGCAGGAATCCATTCAGTTATGTTTGGCTCTTTTTATATAAATTTTAATAATGATCTGAAATAGTTATTTACTCTTATGCTTCCGTTCAGTTATGTTTAGCCTTTTGTATATAAATTATAATAATAAAAAAGTATTATATGAAATTAACCTTTCATCTAAATTAAAACAATAAAAT